ATTCTATTCTTCTTTCTATTGTGAACATCTATTTAAATATGAAACTATGTTAAATATTTACGGTATTCTCCCACCGGATGATGTGAAGTATTACTACTGAAATATTATTTATACATGAGAAATTTCAAAATCTTTAATGTTCCAAACAACACAACAAAACATTCTTCATCAAAGATTTCATACATGAATAAATTCATTTATGTCACTGTTCAAGTTTCCATCGATTTAAAAGCATCTAGTGGAAAGAAAAATTCTTTTATGATATAGCATCAAAAGAAGAAAAACAGTCATGTTTCTTATATTCGTCGCTGAATTCAAACAAGGATAGTGACAATGTTTCGAATTATTAATAAATATTCTATAGGCTTCTTTCATATATACATTGTTAATCTCGTCACGTTTTATACTGACCTGTTTTAATACGCTTTGACCTCATCCGTATTTAAAAATCTACACTAATGTAAACATTATTTACTAGTGAGAGAACGACATCTGATAAGATTAAAAAAAAAATATGCACTACGGTTAAAAATGCTTATCAAGCTATCTTTAATTATCAATTTCTACCGTTTCTTTTTTTATCGTTGACTTAACTAACATAGCTGAAATTCTTTTCTCGTCTGTTTTATGACTAAATTTATCTTTAAATGACGCCATCAAGCTCAATAACATATGTGTTTTTTCTTTGCTCAATTTTAATCAAAATATACACAATCATATTGTTAAGTTTATCTTTTGAAGACAAGGATTTCATCTTAAGAAGTTAAATGTCAAATATGTTGACGTTTGTAATTATAACAGCAATGATAGTAGAAAAAATTAAATGAAAACAGATTTCATTATAACTTGAAATTGTTCCATACTATCGAGTGAAATAGAAACTAATGAGGCATACAATGAATATTGAAGAACTTATCAAGTGAGACTGTTTAGTTTTAGCAGTGACAAATGCATTGCACGAATAATACTATCAACTTGATTCTTTAAGATGCCTAACTTGATTTTTAAGTTTGTCTAGTGTAAAGTACCCTCATTTCCGAATATATTTTGATAAGAAACCATTCATAAGGGACGTTCAAAAAAATTAGAAGGATGGAGGAAGAAGGAGATCAGCAAAAATCTGGTATCTTCGGACAGAAGTAGAGAATAAATAAGATGTATCTAGATGTCCCGATACTTATCAACACTTTTTAAAGCTTTTTTCATAGAGTTTTCAAGTTACAATGGTTTCTAGCAGTTTTTTTTTTTCAGAAGGGAGATCAGAACTTCAAATCAAGTTCAAATTTTTCTCATTAACTCTCAGAAAAAGCCTTATGTCTATAAATATTTGACATACTTCAGAGTGCTTAGAAGTATTCATTTCATTAAAAAGTACTTATCAGCAGCACACATTTAGATCACTCTATTGTTGTAGTGCTTTGATCATAAATTGAAGTCATCAATTATTCAATCAGTAGTTAGATTACTAGAAAAACTACTGAAATATTCACAATATTATTGATGAACAAATATGGATATTAACTCTTACTTGATAAAGTTATAAATGAGTATTTGTTGAATTTTCTTCAATATTTCAAAATGCATTAATTAATTATGAATGAATCAGAAGAGCATCATTTGATAATCCTATTGAGAACTCCAGTTTTTACTTTGGCACTTATTACATACAAGTAATACTTTTCTCAAAAGACTGCACTAATTCTAAACCGATCAAAGGTAATTGATCAGCACACTGTGCCGTCTCGCTGGACACTACGTTTTATTGAAAATACATGCAGCTAAGCACTACGGAATGTATCAACTTTTCATAGGATTTCGGATTTTTCAGGAAGTTAATTAAAGAAATATGTTGTCAAGACTCGATGTCCTGTATGATGTTTAGCCTGAACCGACAAGTTGTTGAAATTTCGCATCGAGTTGAAATTCATGTGACCTTTTCAAAAGAAGAATGTCTCAAAATTTTGTGACGTATCATCTACGAATAAAACATGTATATTTCAACAGATAGAGTTTTTTCAAAATAGCTTTGAAAACTAAACGTCGAAGAGAGGAGGAACAACCAAAATCAGACACCTTCGGACGGGACGAGAAGTCAAAAAAATGTGATTTTTGTCTGGATGTTCTTTATAGATTACCTCCGCAATGCTAACTTTCTGAAGAATAAATTTTGCTCGGAGAATATTATTTATTGGTAATTGGAATCGATCACTTGATTACACATAAAAGCTATCATTTCATCAATGATCTGTATTCTTATATCATGATCTTCCATAGTGTCATAAATTCTTTCGCACTAGATAGATTTGAATTTATGCATTCTTGTTAAAATTTACAATAAACTCTTCAAATTCATTTGACGAACCAATACATTCAGATCTTGTTGAGTAATAGTAATAGACAAGTGTCAGTGTGAGAATACATGTAAATCATCGTTTGTCAACGTCAGCAGACCTCAAGATTTGTCCATAGCGCATGACTTTCTCTTCCTTCAGATTCTCAATTATCTCATGCGTATACTAAAAAAAAAGTTTGCTTAGGATGTTGAAACCACAGATTTGTTTCATTGATTGATGGAAAACGAAATCAGAAACAAACTGATTTATTTCATGGATAAATCGTATAGAATAAATCCCAATTTCAAGAACAAAAATTTTGAAACAAAAATCTACTAAAACTAAGTCGTTTCATCATAACCTGGACTCTTTTTTAATTAATATTCTAAGAATCTCTTTCGCTGTTTAGATAATGACATGTGTATGCTCTTCTATTCTTCGGTTCTAGTGGTGTTACTTTTTTTTTGGAGTTAGCCATGCGCAATGCTACCAAAGATAAAAATAAATTGAATTAAGGTTATACAAGCTATTCTTCTAAAGTAGGATCTTCTTTTTGTACTTTAATTAATTTTTTCAATTATAATAACAATTAACAATGAGTTTTGTATTGTCCTTAAAACGAGATTTGTTTTTCTTTTTGTTTCAATGAGATTCCAGTTGTCTCTACAATGATAAAAGATTTACTTCAATTATAATCATAACAGTGAAAAAACATGGATTGATTTTCATTGCAACTTTATATAAATATATTAAATACTTGCGTATTATCTAGGGATTAGCACAAGACAATTTCTATTCAACTTGCAGAATCAGAAATATGTACGAAGGAAATTACCATTGAGAATATGAAAAACGCCAGAAGTTAAACAAAGTATATCAGAGATATAATGGGTGTGGGTATGGGTGTGAAGTGTGGGCGTAGGCGTGGGGTGTGGGTGTCGCTGTTGGTGTGGCTATAGATGGGAACAACACTCACACCCACACACCCACACGCACCTGCACCCACACCCCACACCCACACCGACACCCCATAAGAAGCTGAGTCGATCCATGTATATCTCAAAATGTTTTGAAAAGTTTTGTTTTTCTCGAAAAAATTCATCCCACGTCCCCCTCAGAGATCCGTCAAAAATAAATTTAATGAAAAGGCGGTTTTTATCATTCAATTATCAGTTCTCTGGAGTTTTTCTAGCTTTTTAATAGTTCTGAGATAGCTCTATACAATCAGAGTGATGTTCTAATGCATTCATGCTCTGACGGATTCCTGAGGGAGACCCGAGATAAATTTTTTAGAAAAAAACAAAACATTTTGAAATATACATGGATCGACTCAGTTTTTCATGCTGATTTCAAATATGGCATCTGTTTCGGTTGAAAGTTGACCTTTTGTCAAAAGATCGGCTAAGTATGAGTGGAAAATGCAATTGTTCGGCATTTGTTGGTACTATTTCGCAATTTTGATGCATAGTACATTTTTTTTGTTAATTTTGAGACGACATTCAGATAGGGCATGAAAAATTGCATCAAACTGTATATATAGCTGTTTGACACTCGATCATTTTGCGGTGACAAAAGGTTACACAACAGGATGAATCGTTCCATTTTATGAGATATCTGTAATTGTATGAGATATTTCGATTGCTTATCGATTGTTTTTAAAAGTGAATCGATTTGGAAGGAATGGAACAAACATTTTTGCATATTTTGCCATATTTTTGAGAAAAAAAATAATATTTTCATATATACATACGCTAAAACATGACTAAATCGCTCTATAACCTATGTAGCGGTAAAATGCTTTTTACGTTTACAAAACGCAACCCAATCGAAATATAAATATGATATTCGTAATCAGCGCGCAAAATTGCATAGAAATCATATACTTTTAAGGATATTTGAGGAAAAAAAAATTTCGGATCGTGAGGGTGCCCCAGGGGGGCAAAGGTCGTACTTTGACATGGCGCAAAACTAATTCGTAGAAAACATTTCTAGTAACCCCCTGACACTTCTCAGATAGATAAAAGTTTAAAAAATCATGGGTAAAAAAATGGCCTAACTGCAACACGTTCTTTCCATAATAAAAATGAATAAATCTTGTTTTGAAAGCGTCATTCGCTCTTCAATTATTTTCACGTGATTCACTTCGCTTCAAGATTACATTCTTCTTCAATAACATACCAAACAAAATGAAACACAGATGTTTTCTATCACATTCATTAATTTTAAGTAGGCGGACAAAAGCTTTGTACTTTCTAACTCTGAAAGGTGAATGTAGGATTAAAGAGTAATACAGATAGGAGTCTTTCTCTTGTCTTTAAGAAATTGATGAAATTATACATAGAAATATTCTGCCATTGGTCATTAATATGTGTTTTCTACTTCTCTTCTTAATTAGATAAGGATAAAATGTAACTAACTTTTGGCTCAATTAGTGCAAAATGATTAAAAGAGTAGTTTGTTAATTGCTAAATAACAGATGAAAACGGTTCCCATCGACAGTGTAAAACACGTTTGAGAATAAAATATAGAGATATCAAGCTTCAACGAAGAAAATTTTGTGTTTTACAACGACAATAAAAAAATTTCTTCATTGCAATTTCTATACTCTTTCGTTTTATATTTCATTCTAACTACAGTATCATCTAATAATGATTTAGGATATCATTTATGAGTCGATCTAATAAGTGTGGATTAATTCGTGACATTCCAGCACGACGATTACCAGAAAATCGATCTGGTATTACTCTGGTTTGGCTTGAAAATACATCGTGTTCATCATGCGATGACAATCAGGTGCGACTGCATAGTTTTAGCAATCGATGTTTTATTGTTTATTATACAAGTATACCGAAATGTATTAGATACTTAAAGCAAACTCAATCACGTGAATATGTCATTGCTATTATTGTGTCTTATCCAATGGAAACAATTCAACACATTATTCATCGATTTAAACAATTTGGAGTTATTCAAACAATGTTCGTTATTTATTCCGATAGAGATACAGATAATCATTTGTCCTTAATGATCGACAATGTTCATATTTTTCAAACTCAAGAGTCAATGTTTGAACTTTTAGAAAAACGAATTGAAGAAATTGAGGAACGAAATTTGAATGATGGTTTATTTACAACGTTCTGTCAAAAGGAAAAATCATTGAAAGATGTTCGAGAGGATTTGGCAACATTTGTTTGGACTCACACAGTTAAAGGTAAGTACATCGAAAATGGTGATTGAAAATTATTTTATGTCACACATTTAGTTCAATTGATGAGTATGCCTCATGACTCCCTTGAAGCCAAACGTCATATGTTAAGTGAATGTCGTGCTTATTATCGAAATGATGCTATCAAATTAGCTCAAATCGATAAATTTGAACGCAAATATCAATCAAAAGATGCCATTCGTTGGTACACAAAACCTGGATTTCTATTTTATCTAGTAAATAAAGCTCTACGTAGTCAAGATATTTGGGTTTTGTATAAATTTCGCTATTTTATTATTGATTTATGCCATTGTTTGGAACAAATTTCCAGTTCACAGTCTTTTTCATCGATTCGTCTTTATCGTGGAACAAAACTCAATCGAGACGAACTCGAACAACTCCATATTGGTTGTCTTATATCAACGAACGGATTTCTCTCATGTTCATCTGATCGTAATGTAGCCGAAATGTTTATCGGTATTGATCTTATGATTGACAGATCGTCAACTCACAATCGAGATGCATGGCAACAATTTGTATTGTTTATCATCGATGTCGATCGTAGAACATCGACAAATACTGTTGTAGCAGATGTTAGTCATGAAAGTGATATACCAGATGAAAATGAAATGATTTTTAACTTTGGATCGACCTTCATCATTAATAACATATACTTTGATAACGATAAATGCATATGGTTGATTCAAATGAGTTCATCTTCGGACAATGCTCGAATCAATGATCAATACGAGAAATATACTCGTATACGTCTTCAGCAGATTAATCCAACTATCATGTTTGGTCATATCTTAGGTTTTATTGGTCGCGACTTCAGGCAATCAATGAATTATTTCCATCGTTTACTGAGAACATTACCCATTAATCATATCGAACGACCAAATATTTATTATAATTTAGGACACATTTATCGATTTATTGAGAAATTCGACAAATCTCTCCATTGTTTTCGCTGTGCTCTATTACTCGTTCGCCGCATGTTGCCGGAGAGAACATTTGATTATTGTCGTATTCTGAGTGGGATGGGTGCTGTATATTCAGACTTGGGAGATTCAGAACGAGCATTTAGATTACTTAGACAAGTTTTAATACTTCAGAAGAAATCATTCCCGGAAAGTCATACAGATATGTCGTTTCATTTATATCGCCTAGGTGATGCTTATTTCAAAGCCAAACAATATACCCATGCACTTTCGATTCTCAATAATGCTGCGGAATTTTTCCAGACGAAAATGCTTGTTGACCACCAAGGATACGCTCAGACTCTGCATACAATGGGTTTAGTGCATCGTGCTCTGGGTGACGATAAAAAAGCATTGATTTATCTTCAACAAGCATTGCAAAAACAATATTCATTACTTGTTAAAGATCATCCTTATCTGGCATCTACTTATTATCAACTTAGTCTCATACATAATGATCGTGGTGAATCTGAAACTGCACTTGATTATATTCAAAAAGCTTTAAGTATACAATTGATGAAACTACCACATCATCATTCCGAACTGAAATTATCAAGAGAACTTTTTCGACGCCTTGAACAATCTCAATAAATATTTCGAATTATTTTCTCTCATCGAGATTAGAGTTAATGTTAGTCTGTCAGTTAGAAGAAACTTGTTCGTATTTAAGAGAGGGTCCGTGAGGTCATTACAAAATCGAAGCAATCGTTAATATATTTTTTTGATTTGATATTCTCATCTCATTCCGTATCACCGAAAATCCCCAAACCTAAAATTTTTAGCGCGTCTGAATGGGCTGGTGAAAAATTAGCTCAATTTTACTGTTGAGCACTTGTGAGTACCCATAGGCCTTTTCGAAGAATATTTTCAAAAATTGTTCCTATAAACTTGAAAGTTTTCTGAATGATATCACATTAATCAATTTTTTCGTGTAATATACCAAAAGAAAGAGCATCAAAAGCTAAACAAAATTACCTATTTACATATTATATTTGTATAGACTGATTCATAGTTATTTATAAAATACTGTTTGTGACTAGTCATTTTTCGAGTAAAAAGTTGGTCAGTTTCTTGAGGGTGTGGGAGTAGGTGTGGGTGTGCTTGTATGTATGGATGTGGATGTGGATGTGGGATGTGGGGTATGGATGAGGATGTGGGTATGGGGTGTAGGCGTGTGGGTATGGGATGTGGGCATGTGGGCATGTGGATGTACGTGTGAGTATCAGTTTTAACCACATTCCACCCACCTACATCCACACCCACACCCAGATCGGAACTATAACCGAACTGTTCAAGCCTTATTATATAGACTTAGTAAGAATGACGAGAACAACTTGTTGTGCTCTCACTCTGACCTTTGGAATGCCCTCCGTGATCGAGAAAGTATTTTCGATGAAGTATTTTTCGGCGACGAGCATATATACCGATCTCTTTTGAACCCCGACTGTTTAAGTCTATGTAGAAAGAAGGGGACCAGCGTTCCTTGACATATAACTTACACTTACAATATTTCTTCGAAAAATATATGTGAGTTCTACAAAATATTATTAAACGCATAAAAGAGTCGTTTGCACTCATATACGTGAATAATATCAATGTTAAAGAAAATTTCATTTTCAAGTCACTCCTCCAATGTCTACTCTCGTCGACATTATTGCCTCATAAACATTCTCACCTATACTTCATCCATAGTTTATATTAAGTAATTTATACGATTGATGAATATCTACTCTACAAATGTAAGTTTGAGTATAGAAACAAATTCGAAGGCTTTGATTAGACAAAACTTAGAGAAAAGCATTCAACATCTAGAACAGCGATAGTTAATATTTTGAAAAGTTAAACTGTAAGCACCATAGAAAAGAATTTCTTTTATTATCGATTGAGAGCTCATGTACTTATTATTGAACGTATTTTTTCATCATCGCTCGATACTCTACTAGTATTCACTTGATTTGAAAAACTTACTCTTCACAATATCATTTCAATACTTCTTGAACAACTTCTTACTCCTTTCATTTCTTCATCTTATCTATTCTCATTGGATATCACATGCATAGATATTGTACAAGATGAAATGAATCTTTATCATCAAATATTTCGTTTACCTGTGTTGAAATACTGTAAATTATTGTGTAAACATTATGTTTTACATAGATCATTACCTGTTGCAACAAATGAATATAGTCCTATTGAATGTCTTGTAATCAAACATCGATTGCAACTCCATGAAGTGAATGCTCTTTTATCATATGTTCCTCAACTTCGTCGTTTGTCACTTCATTGTGAATCTCGCTCATCTGACACAAGAATAGTCTCACCTTCAATCTATTTAAACCATTTAACACATATTTCTCTGAATATCCAATATTGTCCTTTTAATCAACTTGAATCGATCATGGAAAGTCTCTTTCATCAAGTTCAAATTTTATATATTTCTGTTTGGTCAGATGATGATGGAACATATTTCGATGCAAATTGATGAAAACAATTAATTTCAACTTCTTTGTCATACTTAAAATTCTTTGATATCGCTATGTCTAGTTCTATAGGATATGATTCTGGTCCTGATAATGTCGACTATCTGTATCAGACTGATGAATTTAATTCTTTATTTTAGATCAAACGACAATGGTTCTTTGAAAAGGCAGTCGATTGCGGTAGATATGACGATTATCACTACTTCTATTCAATAAATCCATATAGACAGGAGCAGGTTTATTTATCAAGTTTTTTTTTATATTTACTATTCAGGAGAAAACATTTTAAATTAAGTAGAAGAATCCGTAAAAATATTGATTCAGATGGTCACAAATGGGACATGGATTCAATTGACTTTATTTATATGTTGGATGACGATGCAGTGATCAATTGTAAATATTACTTTCCCAATGCTACTAGACTCAAAATTTCATACGACTCTTATAGTGAAAATTTTTACTCTACTAACTTTAGTCAAATTATTCTATTAGAACAATTGACAAAATTAGATATTGGTATTGATCCTTATTCTACTTGTTTGCCAGGCATAGTTGAATTACTATGCGACGTACCTAACATTCAACCATTAAAGATCAGTGCTACAGTATGCGATAATACTGATTTAGCATCACTTAAGCAAAATGAAAGTTTTCGATTAGTATCTAAAACAAATAAAATTAAGAAAATGACAATTTCATCTAACAAAACATTGGAAAACGACTAAGTTTCTTGTTATACTGTGTCCTCGATTGGAACATCTCACAATCAAAATATCTCAAGATAGTCTCAAACCGTTGTTACAATTTTTATTATTGAAAGATAATAATAACACTCGTTATTTATCTTCGTAAGTTATTGACAGTATTTCTCAAAAGAAAATAGAAACAGTCAAAACTTTTATCGAATCATAAATATTGCATGACATCCCTTTTATCAAAGTACAAAAGTATGGCAGTTCAATAATATACTTATGGTGGTCATACTTATTGTTAGTTATTCAAATACTCTTGTACGAAATATTTTGTTACTTCATAATAAACAAACGAGAAACATGTTTATTGTGATATTTTGTTGATTTCCGCTAGATGATTGTATGTGTGCATTTAATAGTGTATTTATTAGGTTGGTATATAAGTTCTGCACGGTTCTTTTTTGTTTTATAGACAAATTTGAGACTTTACATCTCTTTCCAATCACGAGATGTAAAGTCTCAAATTTGCCTAAAAAACAAAAAAAAACGTGCAGAACTTATATACCACACTAATATTATCAGTCATGCTGAATGTTTACCGCAAAGTTTTTTTTTTTTTATATAGAGAGATGATTTTGAACATTTTCCTGTGGATCTGAGAAAAACTACGCTATAAATAATTAAGAAATTAATTCAAATAAAAATCAACCATTTGTGGAATATTTCTTATCTAGATATTCTACGTTTATTGTTGCTCTGTCGTCACTAATCAACAAAGAGCATTGAATAGGCGTGTTCCACTAGAATGCTACTTTGAGAATGATTGAACGTATCAAGTTGTCCTTTGGTTTATAAGGGTTTCTCGAGGTGCTTTTTCTTTTTGCCTGTAGAAATTTTTTCAAAATTCTCGGAAATTGGTTTTCTAAAAAACTCAAATGCTGGTTTTTCAGCATCAAGGAATTGTTAAAAAGTTATATGTTAACAACGTAGAATGATAGAGTAACTAATTCTCTACAAAATGAGATGTCTCCGCGCTCTCCAAGACGTTTTTTGGTCAAACTGCGTCAAATTCACGAAAGGTCTAAAAGCGTTTTCTCGTTATTTCATACGGAAAACATCAAAAATGACTTTTGAGCCCTCCGGAATTTGATACAATTCAGCCAAAAAGCGTTGTAGAGAGCTCGGAGACATCTCATTTTGCAGCGAAGCGTGTTGGTGTGGGTGTGGGTGTGGGTGTGAATGACGAAGAATAGAAGATCCACACCCAAGGAGAATGTACCAGAATATATTAGAATAAGCTAGAAGGTGAGAAGTAGGCATGTCAGAACGCAAGAGAGAGAACATGAATATAGATATAGTACTGCAGAACGATGATGCAATAATGCTAGGGAGATAAGAAACAGAAAAAGAAGAATTTCGGATCGAGTCTAAATGAGATTATAACGATGGTAATACGTGCAAAAGTTCAATCCGCATGTATGCGGTCCCCATCGCCAAAGAGTTAATGATAGAATGAATGTCGATGAAAACATAAAAGTATCCCACAGCGCAACATTCCGATTCTAATGGATGTTTTTCTCTTTTGAAATTGACGCAATCAATTTATTGTTGCCGTTAAAGAAAATTGATAGCACCAATACCAGTATAGGCGAACTATTATTGCCATAAAACGACACTTCACAAGCAAAAGCTAATGCAAATATTGAGCCATATGGTGAATGTCACTCAATATTATAATATAGATACGTTTTTTTGCATTATGTTCCTGTCACTCAAAGTATATAAATCAAATCAAGAACTTTTTTCTGTATTTAATATTCTCTCTTCTTGATATATGTAGACTTCAGGCATTCCGATTGCTATAGGAAGTGAAGATTGAACAAAGAAAGTATTAAAAAAGTGTTACATACATGATTATGTTGGGTTCTCAGCAATTGGCGACTGATATTATTAGTGATCAAACGGTTAGCGTAGATCGAAGACGAGAATTATCTTCAACCAGTGGTCACTATTCAGCACGAGTGAAACGCATTCGTTGCAGTCTTATCGATGTCATATCTTGGCAGCTTGTGAGTATAATCGAAGAACATTATCATTCCTTGAAAACCATTGCTAAGAAAAATCAGGCTGTCACTGCCAAGGTTTTTGAATGAACAATATATTAATTGTGATAATCAATCCAACACATCAATTTATGACAAGAAAACAGAACCTTCATTTTATTTTCTTGAAAAAAATGAACTCTATACGTTTGCATCTAACTAATAAATAGACAAAAATGTCGAAGAAAATCGATGCTTGTAGAAGAATCTTGCATTGAATTACAGAAAAAATACGCATTTCAATATCGACTAGAAAAAAGATACTAAACTTGATTTCATTGTTTCTTTACATTATGTAGTTTTTCAATGCTATAAAG